GGTGCTTGTTTGAATACAAGCCTTAAGACATCCCCACCATCACCACCCAAACACTATTCTGATAGTCGAGCACCATCTGCTTTCTTCACCATACTTTGCTGTAGCACTTTTATCTTCAGTGATCCTCTCATGAAGGGTAGTATCCAGCAGGCCCATGTTATAGGAACTACTTGTTCTTGGATTGAGGCTTATGCACCTATTTTGTCTTCAGTGATCGTATAGGGAGGGTGAACATCACAGAATGCCAGGTGGTTAGAACAAAGTGTTCTTGCATTGAGGGAGGCCTTGAGCAGAGGCCCAATGTCCATCCACTTCTTCAATGTATTGCCGTATAAATATATGTGAATAGGCAAATACCTCTATTTTAGGAATTAATTTTTTAAGGTTTTCAAAAATTAATATACTTACATATGTACACATAAACATTGCTTCCTAGAACTTTACTGTTTCCTTTTCCCTTCCTCCTACCCTACCATCATGCTCACCCTCTGCCTCTTAGTAATTCTTGTCAGCTAGATTGCTGTTGGTCCCACACTAGCAGGATCTCTATGTCCTCCTTGTTGCTTTTAATTACCTAGTTGTTCCCCCATCTATGGCGATGTTTGTTCACCACTCCTTTCCCTGCCACCTCCTCTCCCCAAGCTCCTCCCAAACCGCCGTCCGTTGCTTTCTCCTCGGGCTTGCTTCCCATGCCTGTCTTCCATAGGTAGAGCCTAGTTATTTTTATTCCCATAGGTAAGAAACTTGTTCTTATAGTTGCTTTTGTGTTGCTTATCCTATTGAATTGATCAGCACTATTGGTCTGTTCTCATTAACACACTTCACCTCTATATTGGTGAGCACCAGGACTCAATGGTCTCTCTCCATTCTTTTAAAATTTTTATTTTATTGTATACTTCCCTCCTGATAATGTATCTAGTTTGTGACTTTAAATACTATTTATCCATTTCTATTTTCTGTCTCCAGCCTAGACCTTTATGAACTTATGTATATTCAATGCCTCTTTAACATCTCCACCCCAAACCAAACTCGCAAGTTCTTTCTTATCAATAGTGACCCTATATAGGGTTTCCAGGACTGTAAATCTTTTTGTTGTTGTTTATAATTTTATTAGGGGCTCATACAACTCTTATCACAATCCATACATACATCAGTTGTGTAAAGCACATTTGTACATTCATTGCCCTCATCATTCTCAAAACATTTGCTCTCCACCTAAGCCCCTGGCAGCAGCTCCTCATTTTCCCCCTCCCTCCTTACTCCCCCCTCCCTCATGAACCCTTGATAATTTTTTAAAATCATTTTATTAGGGGCTCATACAACTCTTATCACAATCCATACATACATCAATTGTGTAAAACGCATTTGTACATTCATTGCCCTCATCATTCTCAAAACATTTCCTCTCTACTTAAGCCCCCGGCATTAGGTCCTCATTTTCCCTCTCCCTCTCCCCCCACCTCCCTCATGAGCCCTTGATAATTTATAAATTACTTGTCATATCTTGCCCTGTCCAAAAATTCTAAAATGATTGCTTCATTTGTTTCTAAAATCCTGGTGGTGGTGTTGCCAATATGATTCCCAGTCACTGTTCTCTCGGAAAGTTTGTAGAATTCTTTATTCTTCAAATTCAGAAACAGCACCACACCAGTATGCCCCCCCACCCCTGTGGGTCTTGAGTCTTCAGACGTCTGTCTTTAACCTAGTAAGTTCTTGCATTCTCTTGCTCTGTAATTAGCTACTATCTTGTTTTCTACTCCTCTTTCTCACACACACACCTTTTTTTCTCCTAGAACTCCTGTTAATCTTCCTCTTTGTTTTATAGTTTAGGGTTTCATGTAAAACCTACCACAGCGAGAATACTCCGCTTAAAGTGTTGTGGTTAAATTTAGACTGCCTGTTCAAGATGGCAAATTGGGCATCCCGCTCTTGTCCTCGCCTCTTGGAAACCACACAGAAATTCTCAAAGGGGGGATTTTTTTATTTAACAAGATGTATAAACCCTTCAGGACATGGTCCATTTAGAAAGAAGATACCAGCAACAAAAGTTTGGAGGCTGGCACACAACTGATGGATAGATTTAAGACTGAGAAAACTGCAGCCTATGTAGGGAGAGGAGGAAGCAAAGAAGTAAGCTAGATGATTTACACCCAAACTCCTAAAAACCTCCAGAATTTTCATCACTAGGTACACTGGACTAGAAAAATTCAAATAATTGAGAATTAGGGTAGAGGTTTTTAACTGAAATTCTGTTTAGACCGTGATCAGTTCCCAAGACTGTAGCTCTCTTGAGAAAGTAGAGAGATCTAGAGAACCCTGGGCATAGTCCAGAGCAAAGGTACCACACTAACAGGACAACATAACTTAAGGTGACCAGATTTAAAGCGGGACACCATAGACTGGGGGAGGGGGGATTCTTGATTAAAAATTTGGTCTATATGGACCAAATAGACCGTTCCCTAGCTTGTCGTGTATTCTTTCCAAAAATCGGGACTTTTTTAAAATGCCAAAAAGCAGGACGTCTGGTCACCTTAACATAACTGGAATCTGAGACATGCATGTTCAGGGAATATTATGTATTCATTTGTAATTTGAACAGCATATTTCATATGAAGAAATTATTAATTAGGGATTAAGTATTAAGGAGTTAAGAGAACTTAGGAAAACACAGGAATCGTAGCTATAAGGACCAACCTTTTCCTGACTAGGGCACAGCACCTAAGGAAGGAAAAATGGAAGAGAGCTTCCTCGCAAGGCTGAGATTCGGATCTGATTGTGACCCAGGGATGACTGACATTTGCTGCCATGTTGCATGTTGGAGCTGGCAAGCAGGAAGCCACCCTCGGAGGTGTGATGAGATTCATGGGGAAGCTGCCTCTTGAGCTGTTGAAACTCCACTAGGAAGCTACCCTCTATTGCACTGGCAAAGCTTCCCCTCTTAAAGTGACAGGTTTCTTTAAAAAGGAAACAGGAACTTTTGTTAAATTGTTTAAGATGTCAGCAGCTGTTTGTTTCTGTTTTAGCTTTTTCAAACAGCTTTATTAGGGTATCATTTCTATAGTGTGAAATTTATCTATTGGAAATGTTCTATTCCATGAGGTGCATAGCTATCACTGCAATTCTGTTTGTTTTTACTACAATTCAGTTTTAAAACAATTTCACAACCCTAAACAGTTACCTCAGGCCTAGTCAGCACTCACTTCCACCCATCTCCTTCAGACATCATAATTAGACATTATTTCAACTTGAGTAATTTTGCTAGTGTTTAGAATGGATTCTTAATAGGGGTTCATGAGTAGATTTCAAGGATTCTTCTGAAATTAGACATTAACTTTGGTTTACGTGTATAAACATCTGGAAAGAGGGTCCTAAGCTTGTTTTAATTTATCCAGTAGCCAGATAAATATATACTGCTAGTCATGTGGAGTAACTAGTAACCTCGTCCCACCTACAAGGTCAGCAGTAAAAACCGCCAGCCACTCTGGAAGACAGATGAGGCTTTTTCTCCCTGAAAAGAGTAAATTGTCGAGAAGCAACAAAGCCCTCGTGAAAGAAGCACTTCAGCCTGTGTGATCATGAGGTGTCGATGGGATCAGGTATCAGGCATCAAAGACCCAGAACCAAAAATCATATCAGTGTGAATGAGGGGAGAGACCCAAAGCCCATTTGTAAACATTGAAACATCCCTTTACAGAAGGGTCACAAGGAAGAGACAAGTCAGTCAGGGTGCAGTATAGCACTGATGAAACATACAGCTTTCCTCTAGTTCTTTAATGCTTCCTCCTCACCCCCGACTATCATGACCCCAATTTTACCTTACAAATCCGGCTAGATCAGAGCATGGACTCTGGTACAGATAAGAGCTTGAAACACAAGGAATCCAGGACAGATCAACCCCTCGTGACCAGTCATGAGAGTAGCAATACCAGGAGGGTAAGGGGAAGATGGGGAGAGAAAGGGGGAACGGAGCACAATAATATAAATAACCTCCTCCCAGGGCAATGGACAACAGTAAAGTGGGTGAAGGGAGACATGAAAAAAAAATTGATACGTTATCAAGGGTTCATGAGGGAGGAGAGAAATGCGCTGATACCAAGGGCTCAAGTAAAGAAAATGTTTTGAAAGTGATGATGGCAATAAATGTGCTTGACACAATACAATGGATGGATTGTGATAAGAGCTGTAAGAGCCCCCAGTAAAATGATTTTTTTTTTAACTGCATGGCATCAAATTTAGAGCAGTAACTAGAAAAATAAAAACAGGACAAGGGATGACAGTGAGTTTATGTTAATGGGAGAGGGTGAAAGTAGTTATAGAACTCAAAAATGTGATCAGTGCCTTTGAATGCCCCATATTATAAAATCATTGAGTTGTGTATATTCTCAACAATAAAAAGGCTATGTACACAACATTCAAGTCTGAAAATGAACTCAGCCCAATGACTCAGTTTTCAGCCAAACAATAGACAAGTCTAAAGGAGAACATTAGCACTAGTGAAATCCCACACATTAGCTTAATCAACCTTTCAAGATCAAAAGAACAGCATTTATCTAAGGACAAAGTTCAGAAGGGTTAAGAGTGAAAACAGGTAACAGAAGATACGGGATAAGTGATGTTACATTGTGGGATTGAAACCAGTAAGATTGAACAAAAAAATACATGAACTACTGAATGCAAAATTTAAACTCTGCACTGTAAACCTTCACTCTATTCACAATGAAAAGTTAAATAAAAATATTACCAACCCCCCCCCATCATAACTACCAAAACATTAAATAAAAAAATAGTATACTACCACAGATCATCTTTAAATTGATTACATTTAATTTAAGGTAAAACCCACTCTTGTTTTCCTTTTTGAAAGCTACAGATAAGGTAATGACTGCTTTCTCATATTGCTGATTGAAGAACTGCTGTTTAATACTTGAGCTAATACTTCTAAGAACCAATGCCTGAATGTGATGAATAGTCAGACCTCCTATCCTTTATTTTCTCACCAGTTCGGTCCTTTGGTACAGAAGACAGACCAACAGATCGTCCAATTCCACCTCGAGATGAAGTCTTTGAATACATTATATTCCGTGGAAGCGATATTAAAGACCTCACTGTTTGTGAGCCACCAAAACCACAATGCTCTCTGCCACAAGACCCAGCTATTGTTCAGGTAAACGAATAGTAAATCTAACTTGGAAGTGTAAGCAAATTGCTGTGGGGTTTTGTTTTGTTTTCTTAATGGAATGGTCATGTAGCTCGCCATTTCACACTAGAAAATTACCTAGATAAAGTTGTCATCTAGACTTTTCTTTTTTAGTTTTATTGGCATATAACTCGCATATCATATAATTCAATAGTTCGATCACATCAAGAAAAGTAGTACAACGATCACCACAATCAGTTTTAAAACATGTTCTTCATTCTTGTACCAATCATTATTAGCTTCTCATTTCCTCCCAACCTCCTCTGTCATACCCCCAAGGAACCATTAATCTAGTTACTCTCTCTCTAGATTTACTTATCCTGGATTTCATATACAGAACAAAATTTTAAAAGAAGAAACAAGCTAACAACAATAACAAAGTAAAACATAAAAACCTCAATCAAAAAAGAAAGAAAATATTAAAAGCTAGGACATTTAAAATGGATCAAAAGGAAGCTCAATTGATGCAGTGTTAAATGTTAACCTAACTGCATCAGCATTAATCCACTTTCCAGTACAGTCTGTATGGTATGCATAAAACCTTTTCTCTTTATATCATAAGTTGGAATGGGTAAAAACAATCTTCGGAATTTATTTTCATTATAAAATATTTGTTAATTTCAAAATATCTAATATTGTTTGAGGGCTATGTCCATGTGTACACTGATTTTATATTTGTTGTTGGGAATATACACAGCAGGACATGTACCAACTCAACCATTTCTACATGTGCAATTCATTGATTCCATTTGTGGTCTTCAGATTGTCCCAACATTCTCCCCCCTCCTTTTTCAAGTTACTGCTGGCAGTTTTATCTCAGAGTTCTTAAAAGAACACTGCTTAAGGCAGACTTTCCCTACTGAACTATTGTTTGGTTTTGTTTAAGAAGACGTCAAAGGGATATTTTTGATGCAAAGTTTAAAGATTATCTCAAGGTAGTAGTCGTTTTGGTGATTAGTTAGCTTGTATGACCCCAGAAAGTCTGGAGTCCTTGAGAATGTGCATTTCTATTCTGCATGTTATCCCTTCTGATCTAGTATGATAGAAAAAGAAGCAAGTTGGTCGTGAAGGCAGTTAGCCATCCATTCCATATCCTCCTGTCAAGACTCCTCCCTCTGTTACTCCAGGCAGATAGAGATTAATTGCTGTACCTTAGTACCTGTTTACACACTTTTAAGATCCCAGATCTTAAAACACAACCAAGTAGGAAGTAGAACAGAAGCACTAAACATATCATTGAGCCAGTTAACTGGGATTTCTCAGGAAAACATAACCCTGAATCTCCAAACCAACGAACCAGATCCGAGGTATTTGGCTGTAAATAAGCAGGCTCAGCAGCTACCCTTCTTTTCGCCTTTGGTCATTGCTATAAATATATTCCTCAGACAGCTTTTGCTGATTTCGCTTTTTACAGATGCACAATTTTTTGGCTACAGTTACGTTAATCTCTATACTTACACATATTCAAGTTAATTCTCAGTACTCTCTGACCTTGGCATCCTAATTATCATTTTTGCAAGTGAAGATGTGGACATGGAGCTAGAAGTTGAACCCAGGCAGTTAGCTTTTATTGCCACAATCTGTGCCAATTGATTATATTCAGATATGGATCATGTTACAGACCAGAGTAATAATTCTCTTACAGACCCATTATTTGAGTAATCAGTTTCATGGGTATGAAAGAAATAGCTCTAATCAGCCACCATAATCCCTTAAGTAAAATTATTATGCTTAAAATTATATAAAATAATGAATTCTTTAAAACATACATATTTTAAAAGACCCTATGTGTTCCTGATAAGATACATTTTAAAATTTGTTGTTGTCAGGTGCTGTCAAGTTGGTTTTGACTCATAGCAACCCCATATACACCACCCAGTCCTGAGCCATCCTCATAAATGTTCTGTGTGCGCCCTCGGCAGCCACTATGTCAGTCCATCTTGTTGAACATCAGTAACTGGTCTCTCCTGACAGCATGTTCAAAATACTTAAGACAAAGTCTGCCCTTCATTCTAAGGAACATTATGACCATACTTCTTCCAAGACAAATTTGTTTGTTCTTTTGGCAATCCATAATACTTTGATATTGAGTATTTTATTAAAACTAGAAAGCATGATGTCTAAAAGATAGCAATCTATGGATTCAAAAAGTTGTTCATGACATGTTTACATACTTGTTGTAATCTCATCCATAACAAATAAGGAATGAGGTTTGTGTGAGAATTTTTACTTGGCATAACTGATTACACTTTTCTTCTGAATCCTTTTTCTTCTCAACTATTTCTTGTCAGAAATCATTTTATCGTTTGATTAGTGGTTTTTCACCAGAGTAATGCTTTTAGCTTGGTTTAAATTAACATTTTTTAATCGTTTTATTAGGGGCTCATACAACTCTTACCACAATCCATACATACATCAATTGTGTAAAGCACATTTGTACATTCATGGTCCTCATCATTCTCAAAACATTTGCTCTCCACTTAAGCCCCTGGCATCAGGTCCCCATTTTCCCCCCTCTCCCCGCTCCCCCCTTCCTCATGAACCCTTGATAATTTATAAATTATTATTTTGTCATATCTTGTCCTGTCCGACGTCTCCCTACACCCACTTTTCTGTTGTCCATCCCCCAGGGAGGAGGTCGCATGTGGATCCTTGTCATCGGTTCCCTCTTTCCAACCCACTCTCCCTCTACCCTCCCAGTATCGCCACTCACACCACTGGTCCTGCAGGGATCATCCGCCCTGGATTCCCTGTGTTTCCAGTTCCTATCTAAATTAACATTTTTAATAGTCCTGAGTGATTAAAAACACTTCTTAGTTTTCCTTAAAATAGCTTGAATAGGAATTGTCTTAGTGTTTTGTACCTATTAAAAGAAAACACCTAATGAACGGTTCAAAAGAAAACAAAGTCTTACAGAAAATTAAAGTGGGGGGGGTGAAGAGAAAAGTACCTTTTAACACTTTTCTTTTTTTTTTTTTTGCTTGCTGTGAGATAACTTTTTTAATAAAGTGGTAAATTTTATTCTTAGAGCATAAACTGGAGAAATCTTTACTTCTGTCCACTCTCCCTCTTTTAAAGCCTTCTTTTGGGGGAGGACAAATCTAAAGGTATCCTGAGCAAATAAGAGTCTCTTCAATGGAAGAAAAAGAGACATTCTTATAGAGCTGCAGCTCATTTCTTCTATAACAAACACTGGTGTTATCTTAGACCAAAGGAGCTTCATAAAAATACTTGGTAAAATTGTATTATCTTTCAATTCCATTTTTTCATAGAATTTTCGAAGCACCCTCATATTTGCCTTATAATAATTGTCTTAGACACCAGGCGTTTGAGTAATCCGTTTCATAGAGTTAGGAAAGAAAGGAAGAAAGCACTAGTCAACCGGCATCATCTTGGACTTACACTGTCCATCATTCTGCAGTGTTTTTAAGTGCACAAGTAAGGTCCTAGGATTGATGACATTCCAGTTGGCCTTTAGTAGTATTTCTTATTCTAAAATATGTTAGAATAAGAAAAGAGGTATAATGGGCAAAGAGGGGAAAGGGAAAAGGGGGGAACCCATCACAAGGTTGGATATATGTATATAATCCCCCCTTCCCCAAGAGGACTAGTAACAGAAAAGTGGATGAAGGGACACAATGGACAGTGTAAGATATAAATTAATTATAATACATAATAATATATAATTAATCAAGGATTGACAAAGTTGGGAAGGTGAGGAAAAAAAGAGAAACGTATACAAACGCTCAAGTAGAAAGAAAATGTTTTGGAAATGAGGATGACAAAATATTTACAAATATACTTGATACAATTGACGTATGGAGTGTTGTAAGAGCTCCCAATAATGATGATTTTTTAAATATTAAATTTTTAAAATAGTATATAAAGTGGTTGTATATTTATATATAGAGATGTATATATAAATCTAAAAGTATATTTTGGGTTTTGGTAACTTAAAGTTTTTATAAAATATCCTTTAAATTAGTGATATCTATGTTTTAAAATATCAATAGCTTTGTGAGGTGAGTTTCAATTTGCATCTCTTTTAATTGTGAATTTTAATAATACGCCTCAAGTGATTGAAAAGTAGAATAAAATTTTTAAATGGGATATTTTATGTCAGTACTTGGTAACTATTCTTAAAAGTGATTTTTCTGTTTTTTCTTTATTCAAACTTCTTTCCCGTTTATTCATGAACCTGGCAAAAATAACCCATGCTTTTCCTTCAGTCTTCACTAGGCTCCTCTGCTTCTTCATTCCAGTCAGTGGGCTCCTATGGACCTTTTGGCAGGATGCCGGCATATAGTCAGTTCAGTTCAAGTTCAATAGTTGGGCAGCAGTTTGGTGCTGTTGGTGTTGGTACGTGCTACTTTTGTCTGTGTGTGTGTTGTATGGTGTGCAATCTTCCTGTATACTTTTTATATCCTTATTTATTGATATTGATACCACATACTTATCATTGTTTTAAAGGCTTTATTTAATGTCCTTAATGAGTAATGGTTCTATAAAGGTCACATCTCAAAATAGCTACATATCATTTAACCTAGAGATTTCCAGTTACCATATTTGACTGGGTGGCATTTTTAATTTACATAAGTCCAATTTAAATCTACATAATTTAAAATTAATACTCCTCTCCCTCTATGATGGATTTTCAAAAAGGGATTAGTAAAGGAGAACTGATGTCAGTTTTTTATTTCGTTTCAAAGAGTAAAATGCCATTAAGGAATATTTATTATGCTGAATGTGAACATATTTAACACCTATGAGAAATGCCCATGCTTGCATTGTTTATTAAAATATTAATCAAAACACTAAAATGCAATGAAAGTTTATAGGAAAAAGTGGGCTAAAGACAGTTCTGTTGATTAGAAGACAAACTGTCCACTGTGTGTTAAAAGCTAAATGTAATCAGCTGTTTCAAGGCAAATAGAAGAAATGATAGTCGAGCTAAACAGAAAATTTCAAAGGTCATCTCAAGAAGGCAAAAGTAAAGTATTGTAATGAAATGAACAAAGACTTAGGGTTAGAAAACCAACAAAAAACACACACTCAGCATAGCTTAAACTGAAAGAACACAAGAAAAAAATTGAAGTCTTGAGTTGAAACATTTAAAGATTCTATAGGCATATGAGCAAGAACCAATGGTACTGAAGGAAGAAGTCCAAGCTGCACTGAAAGCATTATCCCAAAACAAGGATCCAGGAATTAATAGATTACCAACTGGAATGCTTCAACAAACTGATGAAGCACTTACTCGTCTATGCCAGGAAATTGGAAGATAACTGCTTGGCAAACTGACTGGAAGAGATCCATATTGTACCCATTCCAAAGAAAGGTTACCCAGCAGAATGCTTAAATTATAGAACAATATCATTGATGTCAGATGCAAGTAACGTTTTTGTGAAGATCATCAAACAACAGATGCAGCAGTACATTGACAGGAAGAGTTGCCATAGGTTCAGGCTGGATTCAGAAGAGGATGTGAATAAAGGATATCATTGCTGATGTCAGATGGATCTTGGCTGAAAACAGAATACCAGAAAGATATTTACTTGTGTTTAATTAACTGTACAAAGGCATTCAACTGTGTGGATCATAGCAAACTATGAAGAACTTCTTTGTTCTCCTGCGGAACCTATACATGGATCAAGAGGTGGTGTACCGACGGAGCAAAAGAATACTATGTGGTTTAAAAGTTAGCAAAACATGGTCAGGATTGTATCCTCTTGAATAACTTACTCTGTATGCTGCGCAAATCATCAGAGAAGCTGGATTATATGACGAAGAATGCAGCTTCAAGATTGGAGGAAGACTTTTTAACAACTTGAGGTTTGCAGATGACACAACCTTACTTGCTGGAAGTTTGGAGGACTTGAAGCACCTGCTAATGAGAATTAAAGATTGCAGCCTTCCATATGGATTACAGTTTAGTGTAAAGAAAACTAAAATCCTCAAATGGGCCAATAGGTAACATCAGTTATAATTGTCAAAGATTTCAATATGCTTGGATCCACAATCAGTGCTCATGGAGGCAGCAGTCAAGAGATCAAAGGATTCCTTTCATTAGGTACTTCTGCACAAGGCCTCTTCAAAGTCTTGAAAAGCAAAGGTGTTACTTTGAGGACTAAAGGATGCCTGACCCAAGCCATGGTGTTTTCCATTGCTTTGTATGCATGCGAAAGTTAGACATTGAATGAGGAAGACCAAAGAATTGATGCATTTGGACTATGATGTTGGCAAAGGATAGAATAAACAAATCTGTCTTGGAAGAAGTACAGCTGGAGTGCTGCTTAGAAACAAGGATGGCGAGACTTAGGCATACGTTCTTTGGCCATACTGTCAGGAGAGACTACTCCTTGGAGAAGGACATCATGCTTTGTAAAGTGAGGGGGCAGCAGAAAATCCCCTCTACGATGGATTGACACAGTGGGTGCAATAATGGGTTCAAACAATGATTTTGAGGCTAGTGCAGGAGTAGGCAATGTTTCATTTTGGTGTACAAAGGGTCACTATGAGCCAGAACTGACTTGAGGGCTTCAGAAACATTCATTTTAGCTCTTATAAAATACCTTTTTTGAAATTCCCACAGTAAAGAATAACTTCTGATCTCTACTTCTAACCCTTAATCTCTTTTTTAATCTCATTAAAATAATTAATTTTCAATTCTTGGTTTCACTGAATCACAAATTCTATTTTAAGGATATCTTGACACTTAATATTTGTTGAAATAATATAATTGCTCTTTATGAAAATTATTTTATGTAGACTTGAATTATATACATATTTTTACTTATTTAAATAAAATGGATGTGCGAGTAGAAAGCAAATCTTAAAGTTAAATAATTATAAAGTTGAAACAAAAGCTGATATAACTAGATCACAGAGGAAGGAATTAATTCAGTGAACTTTTGTACTGCAGTCTTTAAGAACAATTAACACCTGTTGAGAAATCTTGTTCTTAGCTTAAGTTTGTAGTAGTAGTCAAATTGATGGTATTAATTCTTAAAACAATTTTGTATATATTAGTAGAATAGGATCAGTGAGTTAGTATATTGATGTTAGGGGACGGTGTTCTTGCCTTTGCTAAGGGAGATGCAAATATGGAATGAGGCAGGTGAGAAAGAACTCAGTGGCATTGGGTGTTAAATGTAGCTAAGGAATATAAAATCATGATTTTATAAAACTGTCTTTCCTGGATCTGTTCATTGAATGGGCCCGGAAGCAAGTAAATTATTTACTGGCCCCAAGTAAATTATTTTGACATTTGAAAATCAAGTCATAATTTATCATATTCACAGAATAAAGGAGAAAAATGTGATTATATCAACATACACATCTAAGGATGCTAGATAATCTTTTTTTTATGTTGTCAAAGATTTTTCTAACTATTATTGATGTGTACTTCATTATATAGTTTCCAGGATTTTTAATTTTGTTGGGAGTGCATAAAATATATATTACCATTAAAATGTTATTTCTTTTTTTTCTCTTTGGAAAAAAAAAAAATCTTTCTCAAAGCTGGAAGCTCCTTGACATCTTTTGGAGCAGAAACCTCAAACAGTGGTACCTTAGCCCAAAGCAGTGCAGTGGGTTCTTCCTTTACACAGGATACAAGATCTCTCAAGTCACAGTTATCTCAAGGTAGCCTTTTGTTCTTCAAATATTTCCTTTCAAACTGCTATTGTGGGCTTGTTTGTTTGTTTGTTACCCTGATTGGAAGAGCCTTTACAGCTTCTAAATCACTTGTATGATTTTTGTATTTGGTTCTATTTAAATTTTTCTCCCAGTTGCCCTATTGTTAATAACTATATGATTGAATTACTTCATTTAGACTGTTGTACAATTCTACATGAGACTAATGGTGATCATTCTCTAATTTTGACAATTTTTATTATGTAATCTGAATGCTCATATATATTACTAAGTCAGTCCCAGATTTTACACTGAAGATTTACTATCCTTGATGAATAGGAACTGTCAGTTGAAAAAATTCATTATGTATGCTGTTGCATCTTCCCAAGCTGTGTGGATTACGACATATCTGTAACAGTGGGTCTCGGTAGAGACCACCTACTACAGCGCCTGAAGTGCTTCTTAAATATTAAATATAAAAATTTAACATGATACTGGTATAATTTTTATTCAGTGAAGAAAGGCTGTCTATCCCAGTAAATGATGTTAAGATGATCGGCTGATCATTTGGGGAAAATAACTAGATTGCTTTCGTCATGCTATGCACTAGATTTAAAAGTTAATTTCAATTATGGGTTTATTAGATGAGAAGGAAAGATTTCTAGAAATCTGTCAGAGAAGGAGAAATCCTCATTTTAAATTTTATCAACTAGAATTTCTCAAAAGTACAACATCTCTAATTTTCTATCACTTGTGATAGAGATGTAAAAATAGCTTTTAGGAGTGTGTTTCTATTATGCTGAAATCGTTTCTTGGTTTTTTTCCTAATAATATTCCCAGTTATCACCTGTATTTCCCTACTGGATGTGGGTTCTCCCATCCTTTACAGTTTTAGTACTTAGGAATCACAGCATCTTTTCTCAAAGAAAAACCTTGGTGAAGTAAATTTTAGTACCTTAAAAAAATAAATAAAGACACTTATTTTACAACTATGAGTATGTCTAAAATGTTTTCTCAGAGCCCAAAATTGTATATGTAAAGTACCACAACTTTTCATTCTAATCAACGGAAAATTGCATTGTTTTTATTAGTGGCAGAGCTCAAGCATTGGGCTAGAAATAGTAAATTATAATAAATTTATTATTGCACAGTTTGAATAACTGGAAATTTAGTCAGTATTAGTACTAAACCACCCTCCAGCGACTGAGTACATGATTACTAATACAGTGTCAGCACTCACCAGTTCACCAGGTGTTGGAACTTTCTGCAAGCATGGACAAGCTAACAGTAACATTTGCAGCCGATCTGGGAATACTTCTACATAAAATGAGAAACCATTTTAAGGAAACATTATATTTTGGTGCAGTGTCTGAAAATGGGAACACCTTGAGCAGAGGTTTATTGCAAGCATAGGAGTAACCGACATGAGAGCATTTTCCTTTGTGCAGTGGCCAAGTTTCAACCTCATAAAAGGAAAAAAGGGGGCTTTTTAATTGCTAATTAATTTATATTAAGCAAAAACTTGCCAAGAAATCTTTCACATTTGTTTAATGAAAGTAATGAAGATACTACCTATATGCACAAAGATCACACGTTAGTCATCTTTAGGAAATTCTAAGTCAAAGTCTCTGTCAATAATGGCCAAAGTGTCACCATAATCTTGTGGTTGTGGTTATTAGAGAAAACCTGTATCTAATCTGCCTACAACATGATTTTTGTATAAGATTTCTTAGAGAATCTCATACCCAGAACTAGTGTGTCTCCCTTTTTAAGTTAGCCTATATTGTGGCAATTATTGAAAACTTGAGTAAAGCTTATTTCACATACATAAAATTTGGGGTTTTGTTGTTGTTTTTAATGTCTCTATGACAGTAACCCTGTGGGCAGCCTGCCAGCATCCTGGTGGATACCCAGTTGTAAATGCTGGTCTAATAAGTGACTGGCTTCAAATTTGAGTGAAGGATTTGAATTGGTAGACATAAAACTCTAGGCATAAATTTCTTGTAGGGTCAAGATTATTTTGAAATCCCCAAAGGATAGGGGTAGTCTCTTATCTTTTGGTTACATTCTAGGTCGTTCAAGCCCTCAGTTAGACCCTTTGAGAAAAAGCCCAACCATGGAACAAGCAGTACAGACCGCCTCAGCCCACTTACCTACTCCAGCATCTGTTGGGAGAAGGAGCCCAGTATCAACCAGGTCTTTGCCATCTACCAGCCAAAAAGCAATAGAGAATCAAGAACACAGGCGAGGTAGAGTTTTAGTTATTTGCTATTCTTTAATTGACTCATCAACATTTTCCATTTACCTTATATTCATTGAAAATATTTACTTTATGTGAATGGTCATAGAAAGCTTACGTTGAATTTAACGGAATGTTCAGTCTTTCCAGTTTGACTCAACATGGTGTAGGTGGGGTGTAAGATTTTGGGGGCATGCACGGGTTTTGTTTTGGAGGGTTTTCCCCTTTTCTGTCCTTACAGAAGGAATTCATTTGTCACTTTGCATGTCTTTATAGTTGAAGCACACAAAGTTTCAAGGCCTGAACAAGAGCAACTTAGAAATGATAGCAAGAGACAAGTAGGTAAGTTTCTTAGATCTAAACGCCACGTCCTATGCTGCTTTCTTATGAGGATACATTTTAAATGTGTGGTACATAAATACAAAGAAAAATGAAAGAATTGGTGACTATAAAGGAGAATACTTCAAGGGAGTTCCTTTTGGTGATAGAACTGTTATGTTCTTAATAAAGGTAGTAGTTACATGAATCTGTTCCTGTGGTAAAATATCATAGAAATATACACACAAGCATACAAAACAATGAGTGCATGCAAAACTGTTGAAATCAGAGTATATTCTGTAGTGTCATTAATGATACCTACGTCAGATTCTGGGTTTGGGTAATATATAGTATAGTAAGATGTTACCTCTGGAGAGGAACCTGGTTAAAGAACACAGCTATTTTTAAAATTTTCAACTTCTATGTCTATGATTTTTTGCAAAATAAAATGTATAAGCAGAGCTTCAAAAATTAATGGAAAAGCAGGAATGAAAGCTAATGGAATTTTCCTACAACTTTTTAAACCTCCTCTTATATGTCAGTGTATGTGAAAAAGTACTGCGATAGGGTTCCAGTTTATGCAAGTATGGGTTTATTAAAGACAAAACCTGTATACACATAAGCATATTTCTGCAGTTAGTGGATGACTCACTAATGTACTTTCTTAGTCTCGTTAGAGTGCCCAAAGAGTGGCTTCCGAAGGGATTTGCTGAGTCAGTTAAATTCAAGGCAAAGAAGATGGCACAGAAGGTTATGGCGACTGTTGTTTGGGATACCAAAGTGAGAGTAATTTTGATCGAATTTTCTGGAAGGACACAGGATAATCACAGGGGCTTGTTACAGAGAAATGTTAAGAAAGCAGAAAGCTGCATTGGTGAGGAAAAGGCCAGGAACATTGTGCTAAGGAGTTGGGTTGTTTCCTGTCACAGCACTCCGTGGGCTCATTCTACGAGGATAACAATGTTGTGAAAATTTTGTTGGGGTGGGGGATTTTTTTTGTTGGGAAACCTTACTCCATCCACCTTACAGCCCTGATCTTGTCCCTTCTGACATTATATTGTTCTCAAAATTCAAAGAACATTTTAAAGGAAAATCTACGCTCATAGAACATAAATTTATTTAGTGCAGAAATCTCCAAGTGTATTTAATTTTACTATGTTGACGTGTGTGTGTGTGTATGTGTGTGTGTGTAAAAACATGTATAAATACGTATACAAATTTTGTATTCTATTTTCAGTTTATATAGTGAAAAGTAAAGCTTAATTATTTCCTTTATATGAAGTATATAAATATAATTATGTTTATAGTATTTTAAAAGCGTTTCTGTTGATCACTTGATATGAAGACCATAATCATAACTTCTGTCTAGCTATTTTATATTGAATATATTTTGTGTATATTTTTGATTGCTATAGTTCCAGGTACTCCTGCTCCAAGGAGAGGGCGCGGGGGCCATCGAGGTGGCAGGGGAAGATTTAGTATCCGGCGAGATGGTCCAATGAAATTTGAAAAAGATTTTGACTTTGAAAGCGCAAATGCACAATTTAACAAGGAGGAAATTGACAGAGAATTTCACAATAAACTTAAGTTAAAAGGTAAATTTTAGATTTTCTACTCAAAAAATATTTTTGTCCAGTGAGTTGGTTTTATTTTTTCTAAATAAGTGTTTGTTTGTTTTTAAGTATAAGCCTTGACTGTTATGATGTGTGCTTGTTTTCCATCAGAAGATAAACTTGAGAAGCAGGAAAAACCTTTAAATGGTGAAGATAAAGGAGACTCAGGAGTTGATACCCAAACCAGTGAAGGAAATGCTGATGAAGAAGATCCACTTGGACCCAATTGCTACTATGACAAAACTAAATCCTTCTTTGATAATATTTCTTGCGATGATAATAGGTATAGTTTTTTAACCTATTTTTAAGACTGTGTTTGTTTTTAATACTTTTACTGGGGCCTCATACATCTCTTATCACAATCCATACATTCCTCCAATGTGTCAAACACATTTGCACATATGCCGTCATCATCATTTTCAAAACATTCTCTTCCCACTTGAGCCTCTGATATCCGCCCCCCATTTCTTCCTCCTCCCTCCCCTGTCCACCCTCCCTTACAAACCCTTGATAAGTTATAGATTATTTTTTCCATATCTTACATGGTCCTCTGTCGCCCCTCACTCACTTTCCCGTTATTCTTCCCCCGGGGAGGGGGTTCTAAGTTGATCCTTGTAATCAGTTCCGCTTATCTCCCCCCACCCTCCCCTAATCCTCCTGGTATCTCTACTCTCCTTGTTGGCCCTGAGGGATTTATCTATCCTGGGTTCCCTGGGTTGCTGGCTCTTATCTGTAGCAGTGTGCATGTTCTGGTCTAAGCCAATTTGTAAAGTAGAATTGAGGTCATGATAGTGGGGTGTAGGAAGCCCCAAAGAACTAGAGTAAAGTTTAATGGGGTGGGCAGCATGGTGTGGAGACTCAATGCCCATCTGTAGACAATTGGACATCCCCTCACATAGGGGTCACAAGGAAGAGATGAACCAGTTAGGGTGCAGTATAGCACCGATGAAACACCCAAGTCTATTTTTGGTATTCCCCGGGGGTTTCATCAATCTGTTCCCCCTACTTTTAAAGCTCTTATGATGTTGAGTCAGTAAATGATTTCTTCTAAATTTACAAGGTTTAATGACTGCTTAAAATTACCTAAGGACCACAATTAACTTTCAAATGTTTTCTTTTGCTAAAAGAAAATAATACATCTTAAATTCTAAATATTTTGCCTTGAAAAGAAGTAATAACTTTATACTTTGGTTTCAGGGTACAAATACTTGGCCTGCCTGTACTTTGGCGCCACTTGGTGGCAGTGGTCTAGTTTAAACATGGATGGAAAGCAGGAATTTGATTCTTAGTCCCATAATTGTCTGGCTCCTGGAGGATGGAAGCAGCAATTCAGACACATGCTGGTTAATGAATATGAGATCCAGAAATTGGACTAGGGACATTGAGAGTTACAAACACTCCATTTCTTAGCTTCCTAGGATAGTGTCCTTCTGTTGGCATTTCCCTCATCTTTTTTTCCCCTCCATGTAATTAGAATCATCAGATACTTTTCCTTTTGTACCTGACTGCTTTCACGCAACGTGTTTTTTATGTTGTTCAGTGCCTTAAGATGTATCAGAATATGTTCCTCTCATGGCTGAACAATCTTCCGTTTATCCATATACAGCTTCCTGCTGGCCCATTCTTCTGTTGCTAGAGTTGTTTCCTCCTTAACTATTGTAAGCAAGGCTGCAGGAACATTTTTGCACAAGTATCTCTTTGAAGCCCTGCCTTCAACTCTCTTAGGTATATACCCAGGAAGAATTGATGGGTATTCTGTTTAACTTTTTTTCTTTTTCTTTGTAATTGTGGTAAACTTATTTATAACAAGTCACCTGCCTTTTCAGCACTTCATTTGTACGATTCAGTGACACAGTTTCATCATTTTCTTTGCCATTATCGATTCCAGAATTATTTCATCACCCATAACAGCTCAGTTTCCCCTAAGCCAGTGGTTCTCAACCTTCCTTATGCCGTGACCCTTTAGTACAGTTCCTCATGTTGTGGTGACCCCCAACCATAAAATTAATTTCTTTGCTACTTGTAATTGTAATTTTGCTACTTGTATGAATCAGGCGACCCCTCTGAAAGCATCATTTGACCCCCAAAGGGGTCACGATCCACAGGTTGAGAACCGCTGCTTGAGTTCTTCTCCCCTACCCTCCCAGTCATCCCTTGAAACCACTAATCAACTTTGGTTCTCTGTCCACCTGTCTATTTTGGATATTTTACTTACGTGGAATCATACAATATAGAACTGTTTAAACTTGCCAACTTTCAGCTATTATGAGTAGTGTTGCAAGGAACATTGATGTGTCTATTTCCATTTCTGCTTTCAAGTTCTAGGAAGTGAAATTGCTGGGTCATGTAAATCTGTTCAACATTTTGAGACATCACCAACTTTTCCATAATGCCTGTGTCACTCTCTCCCCACGATGTCTGAGGGTGAAATGTCTCCACATCCTCAACACTACTTTCCATTTTCCTAATAATGACCATCCTAATGGGCTCAAAGTGGTATCTTATTGTCATTTTGATTAGCATTTCCCTAAGTTGACATTGAACATCTTTAATATGCTTTTTGGCCATTGATATATCTTTTTTGGAGAAATGTCCATTCATATGCTTTGCCCGTTTTTTGAATTGGATTGTTTGTCATTTCATTGTTAAATTGGGGTTCTGGGGGACGGACAACAGAAAAGTGGGTGAAGGGAGATGTTGGACAGTGTAAGATAGGACAAAATAATAGTAATTTATTAATTATCAAGGGTTCATGAGGGAGAAGGGCAGTGAGGAGGGAGGGGGAACATGAGCTGATACCATGGGCTCAAGTAGAAAGCAAATGTTTTGAGAATGATGATGGCAACAAATGTACAAATGTGCTTGACACAATGGGTGGATGTGTGGATTGTGATAAGCGTATGTGCCCTCAGTAAAATGATTTTTTTTAATTGTTGGGGTTCTTTGGAGATTGCTGTGGGTAGTATTGACCTCTTAACACTATTATGCCATTCAATCCATGAACAGGGAATAACTTTCCATTTATTTAGATCCTCGTGACTCTCTTTCAACAGTATTTTAGAGTTTGAATTGTATAAGTCTTACACCTCCCTGATGGAATTTATTGCTAAGTATTTAAGAGTTCTTACTTTTGCTGAAGACTGTGCTTTTGAAGATCCTTTGTTCTTCTAATAGAGAACGGAGACCAACATGGGCTGAAGAAAGAAAATTAAATGCCGAAACATTTGGAATCCCACTCCGTCCAAACCGGGGCCGTGGGGGCTACCGAGGCAGAGGGGGCCTTGGCTTTCGCGGTGGCAGAGGGCGTGGTGGTGGCAGAGGGACCTTCGCCGCCCCACGAGGGTACCGTGGTGGATTCAGAGGAGGACGTGGGGGCAGGGAATTTGCAGATTTTGAGTACAGGGTAAGTATATTCTTTGGGGATTGGCATAATGTTTATTGTTTAATGTTTGTACTCTTTACCTACTTTAAATGGTTTGGGGGTTATTTTAGGAAATGTTAATAGCTTTTACTTGGACTTTTCAATGTAAAATACACCCATTTGAGATGTTTTTTTTTAATTTTAAGGAACAGTAAGTTCTTGCTTAATGAGTGCTCTTCTCTGTCTTTTTCCACTTTAACACCTAAGTAGAAGGAGATATTCCCAGATTGGAAGGCAAGCCTTTACGTTTACCGGCAGCTAACATTTGCCATAGTCCTGAGTTGGCAGCCATTAGTCTAGTGTGTTTCACATTAACACATTGAAACCTCCCACCAATTCTCTGAAAAGTTCCCTCTTTTTGTCTCTATTGACAAAGGAGAAAATAAGCTTAGAAGTAGCAAGTGACTTGTTCAGGGTCACCACACCACTGAGTAAGGTCTTGAACCTTGCAACAGGTAGGTTCCTTAGATAGTGCTTTAATTTAGTTTTGTAAAAAAGCTCTCATCATTTTCTCTGGTTCCCTTGTTTTGCCACAATCTTGAAGTTTGTTTATTTAAAGGAACCTATAAAATAAGCCAGTATTGCTGTTCTAATTTGTTGATTTTTATTGGTGACGAGCAGAGGGTATGTGAATCTAGGAAGTATCAAAATGCCCTGTCTTTCAGGGATAGCTGGGGCAGTGAGAAATGGAAAGACCTGCTGGCAAGCATGATTGGCTGGTTTTGAAAACGAGCCATTGTTGCGATCTCCCTGCAAGGGTCATTTTATTAGTAGCTTTTGGACCTGGTCTGTTAGTGTTGATCTCTCTTGTGTATCATGTCATCACTGCTAGGACTGCTGAAAATTCTACTTATAAGTCAGACTCTCCAGCCTCATTAAAGGACTTCTAAATAGCAAAAATATCATTCTAAGTGGTGGGCGACAGGAGCCCTAGTAGTTGGGCTGCTAACTACAAGGTCTTCACTTCCAAACCACCAGCCACCCTGCAGGCCAAAGGCAGGGCTTTCAACTCCAGTTAAAAGTTGTAGTCTTGGAAATTCATAAGGGCAGTTCTACCCTGCCTTATAGGGTAGCTATGAGTTGGTATTGGTATCTACTGGATGGCAATGACAATGAGTCAGACTGTAAAAGAACAATAGAATGCTCTTCTTACTGTTAAGCTTCTAGAGCAGTGGTTCTCAACCTGTGGGAGCAACCCCTTTGGGGGTCAGATGACCCTTTCACAGGGGTCGCCCGATTCATAACAGTAGCAAAATGACAGTTCTGAAGTAGCAGCGAAAATAATTTTATGGTTGGGGGTCACCACAACATGAGGAACCTGTATTAAAGGGTTGCGGCATTAAGAAGGTTGAGAACAACTGTTCTAGAGGTTATTATCAGTGACCTCTTGCTTGTAATATTCAGTAACCTTTCCATAAATATTTACCCTAAACTCTCCTGCAGTTTTTGACCCTGATGACCACCCACTCACATTGTGCGTGCATCCATGTGTTTCTGCCAAGTGCACTAGAGTCTTCATCTGTGGCGGACATCTCCACAGCCTAGTGGGAGCAAACCAGCCGAAAGACACCACTTTTCCTTACAGTTTTGCCTAAGGCTTACTCTGTATTCGTGGGCTTGTGCTCCTTCTTACATGGATTTCTCCCTTTTCTGACCTCTTATGATAGCTGCTGTCTTTTGTGCTGTTCTGTATTCCCAGTTAGATGGGAACCACTTAACATTGCTGTTAATTAGGTGCCATCAGGTCAGTTCTGATTCACAGTGATTTTATACACAATAAAACACGAAGCTGCCCGCTCCTGTGCCATCCTCATAATTGTTGCTGTGTATCAGCACCTTGTTTCAGCCGCTGTTAATCCATCCCCTTGAGGAAAGGGCCTTTCTCTTTTTGACTAAACCTCTTCCTTACCCAGCATTCTATGTCCTGTGTGGACTGGTCCCTCCTGAAAACATGTGCAAACTAATGTTTTGCTATCCACAGTTTTAAGGAGATTTCTGGATGTACTTCTTCCAAGACAGATTTATTGCTTCTTCAGGCAGTAGTCACACTGTAAAACTCAAATGCATCAATTCTTTGGTTTTCCTAATCATTGTCCACTTTTCATAAGTGACATCTTTGCTCTCAACACTTCAAAGAAAGAGCTCTTTTGCAGGAGATTTGCCCAATGCTGTAATTTATTTGATCTGCTGGCTGCTGCTTCCACAAGTGCTGATTATGGACCCAAGTAAAATTATTTCTCTTGGTCCAGTTGTGATGATGATTTATTTATTTAGAGCTATAATCTAGGCTGTGATCTTTTATCTTCAATAAATGTTTCAAGTTCTCTTTGCTTTCAGCAAGCAAGATTGGAAAAGAGTCTTTCCAATCCCCATGCTGTGTTCTTGGCTTATGCAGCATACAAATTGAATAATGATTGTGATAGGATACAACCTTGACACACACCTGATTTTAAACCATACAGTATTCCTATGTTCTGTTCCAGTAAATGCCTATTGGTCTGTGTACAGGTTCTCCATGAGTTCAAGTACATGTTGTGGAATTCCCATTCTTTTTGTGGTGTTTTCCATAATTTTTTTCTTATTACGCACATAGTCAAATGTCTTTGCATAATCAGTAAAACAAAATATCTTTCTAGGATTCTCTGCCTTCAGCCAAGATCCATCTGGCATCAGCACTGATTCCTCTCATTCCACGTCCTCTTCTGAAGCTGACTTGAATTTCTGGCAGTTAGTTCCCTCTCAATGTACTGCTGTAACTGTTTAATAATTCTCTTCAAAAAAAACTTTATTTTTGTTCAATATTAATGCTATTGTTAAATAATAAGGATCTCTTGATTGGCCACATAGTATCTTCCTAATTTTTGGACATAGGTCAGGGAGCTCTTTCTTTCAGTGTTGCATCCATTTGTTGAAACGTCTCGATTGATATTCTGTCAGTTTTAGGTCATATGCTACCTCCTGAAATGGTTGAACATCTTCTTTTCATGCTTCCTGCATCATTCAATATTTTGCCTGTAGAATCTTTCAGTATTACAATGAGCAGCTTCAATTTTTAAAAACAATTTTTTTACTTTTTTTTTTTTTTTTAGCTTAGGAAATACCAAGTATGTTCCGAACCTTTTGGTTTTCTAGTTCTAGCTCTTCGCGGATTTCATTTTAATACTTTGTCTTCTCGAGCCACTCTTTGCGATCTACTGTCCAGCTACTTAATCTTTAGTTATAATTTACCTACTCTTCATTCAAAAGCACATTTCAGTGTATGTTCTGGCATCCATTTCGGTCTTTCAATTCTTCATCTTTGATGTCACCCCACAAGTTACCTGATCTTTGTTCATTAATAATCACTATGTTTTTTATTCTTTAGAATCTATTCTAAATTAAGATGATGTGTACTCAAGGTCCTACTCTTGTGGGCTTGTTTTCATATCCTTCAGTTTCATTTTGAACTTGCATATAAGCTCTTGATACAGTGGTCTGTTTCATAGGGCATAGTTGTCTATGCCCTGGTTCTGATAAATGACTGAGCATATCCATCATCTTTTCCCATAGATAAAGTAGATTTTATTCTTGTATATGCCATCTACTAAGGTCCTCATGTGTTGTCCCTTATTGTTATTTTACAATGAATATACTGTTGATCTTGCAAAAACCAGTCACAATTAATTGAATTATGGATTATTATAATAGCTGTAAGAGCTCCCAGTAAAATGTTTGCTTTTTTAAAATCAGTCATGAAATCTCCAGGGTCTTTTTTTTAAATCATTTTATTGAGGGCTCTTACAGCTCTTATCACAATCCATACATATATCCATTGTGTCAAGCACATTTGTACATACACTGCCATCATTATTTTCAAAACATTTTCTTTCTACTTGAGCCCTTGGTATCAGCTCTTCATTTTTTCCCCACCCTCCCTCCCTCATGAACCCTTGATACTTTATAAAACATTATTATTTTTTCATATCCCACCCTGACCAATGTCTCCCTTCACCCACTTTTCTGTTGTTCTGCTCCCTGGGAAGGGGTTATATATAGATCATTGTGATCGGTTCCTCCTTTCTCCCCCTACATTCCCCTTATCCTCTTGGTATCGCTACTCTCATTATTGGCCCTGAGGGTTTATCTGTTCTGGATTCCCTATGTTTCCAGCTCTGATCTGTACCAGTGTACATGCTCTGATCTAGCCAGATTTGTAAGGTAGAATTGGGGTCATGATAGTGGGTGGGGGTAGGAAGCATTAAAGAACTGTAAGAATGTTGTATGTTTCATCAGTGCTATACTACACCCTGGCTGGCTCATCCCTACCTTTTGACCCTTCTGTGAGGGGATGTTCAGTAGTCTACAGACGGGTTTGGGGGCTCCACTCTGCCCCACCTTGTTCGCATTGATAATGATTTTTTGTTCTGAGTCTTTGATGCCTGATACCTGATGCCATCAACATCTCATGATCACACAGGCTGGTGTGCTTCTTCCATATGGACTTCTCAACTAGATGGTCCTGTTTTATCTTCAAGTCTTTAAGATGCTGTATCTTTTGATAGCCGGGCACCATCAGCTTTCTTCACCACATTTGCTTATGCACCTATTTGTCTTCAGCAATCCTGTCAGGAAGGTGAGCATAATAGAATACCAGGTTATTAGAACAAAGTGTTCTTGCATTGAGGGCATACTTGAGTCGAGACCCAATGTCCATCTGCTGATTTTTTTCACTATCATTTTATATTTAAATATATTTACATATGTACATGCCTGTATTTAGACCTCTATAAATGTTCTTCACATCCTAGTTCTTTCCTCTATTTCCTTTTACTTTTCTCTAGTCCCACTATCATATTCAGCCGTCATTCAGGTTTCAGTAATTCTTCTCAGCTACTCTGCCCTTGATCAAGCCCTACCAGGCATCCTACACCCTCCTCATCACTGATTTGGATCACTTGTTGTTCCCTTGTCCCTGGGTTTGTTGGCACCCCACCTTCCTTTCCCCTGCTCCAGGGTCATTTTTATGCTGTATTTTCCAGCTGCTGATCTTTGTTTACAACTTTTACATTCCAACCACTATCAATGGAAAATTACTAGGCTGATCATTTGTTTTATCAATTTCAAACTAGAGTAGTTGGTAAGCATCTTTACTTTCCCTTCCTTTGGCATTAGTGATTGATGACTAAATTTGAATAATGACCCTTTCAATCATGAGTATGGTGTCATTCCTCTTCAGCTTGTCATTCTCAGCATAGCAGACCTGTTGATTATCTAGTTCCGAATTCCCAGTACCAGTCCATTTCAGCTCACTAATGCATAGCATATTGATTTTTACTTATTCCATTTATTTTTTACCACTTGTAGTGTTTCTCTTTCCATCTTTGTACATCACAGTTAGTGGTGGATGGTGGACTTTCCAGTTGTTTCTTCTCGTTTTGGGTCATGCCACTAAAGGAAATGTAGGTCCCTAAAGCTTTGCTCCTTCATTTCATTAAGGTTGACTTCATGAAGCAGATTAAGATTTTCACTTTTTTTTCTCTCTAGAAGTAGATAACTCCAAGCCTTCATGTGCTCACTTAGCTTTGTTCTTTTGTGCTATGTTGGCATGCATCATTACAGTTTTAGAATACGGATTAATGCACTTGCCTAATAAAAGCATGAATGAAAGCCAGGATCTTGGGTTTTTAGAGCATATTAAAGAAATTAACCAAACTAGAATCTCGCACCCACTCCTCTAATAGATTATTCAGAACCTAAGGACCTTGAGCCATTAACTCTTTATCTAAATACAAACTAATAAAGCCAGAATTAGAATCCTATTTTGAACTTTTAGATTAGTATTCCATAAGGATGATAATGTTAGCAGTGAACTTTTGATAAGTTTAGTCTCTTGGTGCTTTTTCACTCATGTCGGGGGTGGGGAGGGCGACAATGAAGTAGAGATAATAGAGTATAGCCAGCTCCTTTTTATTTGTTGCTGTTAAGGGAGGTAAGCCTCATGGTGGGGGAGACAACCTTTTGAGTATTGTTCTTTAGAGAGAATTCAGAGATGAGATGCCAAAAATGACTCAGCATGATTTTCTCCTTCTCCCTCTTTTATTTTCTGCTCACTTGTTCTCTCTTTCTTTTCCCTCCCTCCTTCTCCTTCCTTTCTTCTTCTTTCTCTCACTGCTTTTCTCTTTCCATCCCTCCCTCTTCCTCCTCTCTCTGTGTCTTCTCTCTTGACTCATTCCATTCAACTTCCATACTGACTGGTCTCTCTCTACCCTGCCTGTTTTTTTCCCTTTCCCTCATTTTCTTCTTCCCTCCATCCCTCCCTCTTCTCTCTCTCTCTCTCTCTTTCTTTTTTTACCTTTCAGAAAACCACAGCTTTTGGACCCTAAAAGGTCTGGATCGATGATACTGCTTTCTGAAAGGTAAAAATAAATAACTTGTGGGGTGTGGAAGCTGACTTTTGTTTGGGGAAGAGGAGGGCTGCAGGGGGGACAGTGGGCAGTTATGTCAGTTTACACCATGCAAAATGTATTCCAATCTAATACTACTGTGTATACAACACCAAACCATTTACAAATTAAATCTTCAGCCCAGGAAATGTATAATTTAAAGTTCTTTTTCAGTGAGTTTCTAAATCATTGCTTTCTACTGGCAAGTTTTAGAGAGAAATGTTATTTTATTTTCCAGGTGTTTTATTGTGTAGTAAAGACATCAATTGATATTTGGGGATATTATGATGCTCCTTCCAATATTAAGTTATATTTAGTGAGTTTAACTTATTAGGAGAGCAACCAAAAGACTGGGGCACACCTACCTGTGTCTTGGGGAGACACTTGTTGCCAAGCCTAGGCCCCCCACTTCACGTTGTAACCTCTGCAACAGTAGAATGCTGTTAATAAACCCTGAGATACTGCTGTGTCTGGCAGTTATGAAAAGTACGCAGGAAGTCAGTGAAACTTAGGTGTCGGTGAAAGTAAAAGGGTGAGTCTAAAGTTCATTGAAATGATACTTAGGCAAAATCGTAATATTTACTAGTAAATCGATAATTTTTGTTTTATTTTTAGAAAGACAACAAAGTTGCTGCATAGTCTACAAACAAGTCTTTGAAACTAGGGGAATTTCTAGCTCTTTGTGGTCCTGACCGTGGGTTTCAGTCTTTTGACGAAGATGTGAATGAAGACATGCATTTGCTGTATATTTGTCACCAGCACTGGGTTTGGTTTGGCTTGGTTTTTCTGCTTAATTTGAAAGTTAAGAGTGAAACGTGTGAGAGTTAGAACTCAGCGGGGCAGCCTTGTTTTACTGGGTCTCACGCATTTTCTGCCTTTGATAGGTGCGATCTTACCACTTTTCTATCACTCTTTTTAGTTGAAAATGTCTTGAGTTTTTCTTCTCAGGCAGGCTTTTGCCTTACACAGGTTCCAGCTTTTGCCATTTTTACTGAATAATGCGGTTGCTTTGGGGGAGGGAGAAGAAGCTCATCTTTAAAAATGAACATTAAATATATTTGGAATAGCAGATTAAGTGATTTTTTATGTACAATTAAACTAAAGCAGTAATTCAGTAGAACTTATAAGTATTTTTTATTACTGAGAGGATTTTTCTTATCACAAAATTGTATCTGGCAATTCTTGCAAGTTGCCTGCGAATCGGCCGTGATACTGTGTTTTGAGAAGGTGTGTATGTGTCTGTCTCTCTCTTTTTTTTTTGAAATCTTGTAATATCCCTTTTGAAATAGCTCAATTAATTAGGGTGCTGGATGGTAGAGAATTCTGTCAGTCAACTATGTACACACAGTAAATCCTGTTTCTTAGGCAAAGGTGACTTTTTTATATAGTTGTAAAATTCCATTGTATCCATTGCCAAAGAAACATTAAGAACTTTGTATAGCTGTATAAAAAACAACTAATTTTTTAAAGAATAAACATTTTAAAGTCAGCAAGCATACTGTGTCCTTGCAGAAGTTGATGTGTTGAGAATTGTGAATGAGCCTTTTTTTTTAAATCATTTTATTGGGGGCTCGTACAACATTTATTATAAAATGAGCCCCTTTTTTTTTTACCCTTAGCTTTAGCTGGGTTTAAGGTTATTTTATTTTATTTAACATAAATGAAGATTTGATCCATTCTCCCTTTATCTAAAAAGGATAGATTTTTGTGGCCATTTTAAGAACTACATCGTGTAGCAAATGGCATATTAACAGGATTTGTCCAAATCAGATATTTTCTGTATACAAATGTAAATAATCATAGATAAGAATATACTTAGCTGTATTTTCAGATAAATGAACTCTTTTTCCACCCCCCTTCCACCCTGCCCCATTGGGGGCTTTGTTTGGGAAAGAGTTGTTTGTTTTTTGTTTTAAGAAAATAAAACTAGGTAATTAATTAACTTGTTCTCCCTGGTATGCCTGGAGTTGAACACATTGTTGTGGTCCCTTCACTAATTTCATTCAATTTCAAGATTTGAACTGTTAGAAATTCTTAATCTGTTAACCTGTAAGACTTTAGAATACTGACTGGTCCAGAGGCTTGTGACCTCAAATAACTCCATACAGCGTTCATTACAAGTAAATCTTTTTTATATTTAAGCTATAGTAGGTTGAGGGGGATATCTGGCCACTTTTGTGTTTTTATTAATGCCGTGGAATAAAGGGATCCAAAGAATTAAGTATTTTTATCTATTTTAACTTTCGTTAATTTGCTCCTTCAAATACTCAATAGTGATAAAGATATGAGAAACTGCACCAAAGGAGAATTGGGATTATTTAAAGATGATATTTTTAATTTTCTTTCTATTGTATAAGAAAATGATACGTAATTTGGTTCCATTATTAACATCAGTATTTGGCAGCCATAATTTTAATAGTATTGTGTAGTACTGTTTGATTTCATGTTTACAACAAAACTTTTTGGAGGACCCATAAATCACAATACTGAACCCGTTTCTGAGGTACCTATTCTGACACCAGAGCAAGCAATATGGCAATACCTGTATAAGCTGTTTGAGCAGTCGTAGGCCAGTTTCAAGAAGGAAAACTGTAAATAGCTTAAATACCAATTCTACATGCTCCAAAAGTATGAGTTCACCCATTTTCCCAATCCCTGTAGGTCGCTCACGGGAGTGTTTAGTGTCCCAATAATAATTACAGTATGGTATCCCTGCAGTGCATCTGCACGTTATTAAAGCAAAGTTTTTATTCTAGGGCAGAATAAAACTGTTCAATGAAAAATGTTCGTCAAAATTCTTTCTCTATAAATATTTTTCTCTTTACCTTCTGGAGTCGAGATCCATTGCGTAGGCCAAGCTCAACTCCTCTGAGCCAGGTAGTCTGCCCTGTGTAGGTAGGCAGGCAAGTGTAAGAGAGGAACGATTGGTGATTCTCAAACAGTAGGCGATTTCTCCCTCTCCACCCCGGACTTCACATGGCTGCAGTGCCACACAGTGATATGAAAGGTTCCTCAAAGAGTTGATGAGAAATTTTCATTATCTTTCCATTCTATTTTTCCATAAGCTTAAAGTATAAAAGGGCCTTAATTCCTGTTGACATTTTGAAAACTCACTTTTTATAGGTGTGATTAACCACTCCACCCTAGTCAATGTCATCTAGTGGTTACTAAATCCATGATCAGAATCAACTGAAGAGCATGTTAAAAGCATAACTTCTTTGCAACAAAATTAAAATTTAAAAGCATTTTAAGTATCCATCCCCAGACCTCATGCCCAGAAGATCATTTCCAAGGCCAGAGCCTTGGTGCTGTGGGCCAAGCATCGGGCTACTAACTGCCAAGGCAGCACTCTCAACCTCCCGGCTGCTGTGGAGAAAGGCTCGCGGTCCTGGAAACCACATGGAGCAGCAGCTCTCCTTTGTCCCCGGGGGTCACAGTGAAGCAACTCAAGGGCAATGGGCTTGGAGTGAAATCGTTTGGGAATCTTTCAGTTTTCTAAATTCACACGTAATTTCGATGAGCTAGATCTGGAAAAAGTTTAAAAAGTCAAACCAGTTCATCCTTTGTGTACGGGGACCAGATTAACATTGGTAAAGCGGGACACCATTGATAAAACTCACATCTTGGCGAAGAAGCCACATGGCAGCCGAAAATCGTATACCCTATCTTGTCGTGCATTCTTTCCAAAAATCCAAAAATAGGGACTTTTTTAAAACGCCGCAGAACACAGGACATCTGGTCACCTTACCTTTGTGGGGCTTGGTAAGGATTATCTTGTTTCCCCGTGCTCCCACATTTAATATCCACAGGGTGTGCCTGGGACATGGAGAAAGTCCAAGGCAATCAAGGTATGTACCTATAGGATCACTCAAAAAAGTCATTGCTGACTCATAGTGACCATATAGGACAGGGGAGCGCTGACCGCCCCTGTGAGTTTCTGAGACTAACTCTCGAGTAGAAAGCCCCATCTTTCTCCCAGAGAAGCTGGTGGTTTCAAATTGCTGGCTTTGCAGTTAGCAGCCCAACTTGTAACCACTGTACCACCAGGGCTTCTTACAGGCTCACAGGTGTGACCAGTTTGTTTAGTTTACCTGAGGTGAGTGAGTTTAAAAGTATAATTGGAATCAAAATGTAGCACATTAGTCCCAGAATCTGAGGCTGCTTAGATGGAATTTGCTCATAGAAGGGTGCCATGACCTCTCTTAAAACAGACAGGACCAGGTGTCTCCTGAGAAAAGTTGGTCAATTGAGAGAATTTAGTGCATCTTCCATCAGCTGTGGGAAGCTAGACATGCAGCAGTATTCCCAGCCTGCCACCGAGTCAATTCTGACACGGCCTTACAGGACAGAACTGCCCCTGTGGGTTTCCGAGACACTTTACCGAATAGAAAGCCTCATCTTTCTCCCACAGAGCAGCTAGCAGTTTATAACTGTTGACCTTATGGTTGTGTGACTTTTAAAAGCATGTAGTAGGACTTTAAAGACTTCAAATCTGCTGTGGTTTCGCCTTTTTAAAAAAATAATAATTAAATCATTTTATTGGGGGCTCGTACAACTCTTACCACAATCCACACATAACAGCCATTGTGTCAAGCAGTTTTGTACATTTGTTGCCCTCATCATTCTCAAAACATTTGCTTTCTACTTGAACCCTTGGTATCGGTCCCTCATTTTTCCCCTCCCACCTCCCCCATGAACCCTTGATCATTTATAAATTATTTTGTTATATCTTGCACCATTCGATGTGTCCCTTCATCCACTTCTCCGCTGCCCGTCACCCAGGGAGGACGTTATATGATCCTTGTAATCTGTTCCCCCTTTCTCCCTCACCAACCCTCCACCCTCCCGTATCTGATGTGATAAATTATCAGCCAGTGAATATTCTGGATGACCTCATACTTAATGCATTTGCCTCATGTGATAATTATGTGCAGGTTCTCACAAACATCTAAATAAACCTATTTAACTCCAGTTTACAACAAATGTTTTTAAAAGACATGCTTTCAAATACACTAGTGTCCATGTTGTAACTTTTGTTATTCCTTTTTTAAGGCAATTCTTGAGAGGCCAAAGCCCATTTTATTTTAATAGGGACTTTTACGAATCACTCATAGGTTCCCAAACTAATTTGGCTTACCATCATCTTTTCAGGAAGAAAAGTGGGGTACTCCATCTGCCACTCCACTCTCCTCCCTCCCCTCCCCGCAATTAAACACTTGTACCCCATAATCCAGAATAAAGTGTGGGTATCTGCATTTACAGTCCCCTGGATCATCCCAGCGCCCACCATGAGGCAGTACTGCCCACTTTGGGAAACACTGGTTTAGTAAGATGCACAGACCCAATCGAGGGTAGCCAGCAAGAAGCCATGGCCCAGATAAGCGTGCCTTGCCTTCTGGACTTGCCAAAAACTCAAAGTCAAAAGGAAGAAAACAAAGAATGCCAATCTTGGCAGGGGAGAAACTTAGGCCCAGGACAAGGTTGTCATGAATTCCAGTGGCCTGGTCTACAACCATCCCAGTACACTCCACTGCCATTGAGTCAATACCAACTCATAGCAACCCTATAGGTACCCTGTGGGTTCCTGAGATTGTATCTTTTCTTCAATTGGGGACTCGGACAACTCATCACAATACATACATCATCCATTGTGTCAAGCACATTTATACATTTGTTGCCATCATTCTCAAAAACATTTTCTTTGCTACTTGAGCCCTTGGTATCAGCTCCTTATTTTTCCCCCCTCTCCCACCCTTGATACTTTATAAATTATCCCCTCCCCCAAACCCTTGATAATTTATAAATTGTTTTTTTCATGTCTTACACTGACCAATGTCTCCATTCACTTTTCTGTTGTCCATCCCCCAAGGAGGGGGTTATATGTAGATCATTGTGATCAGTTTCCCCTTTCTCCCCCACCTTCACCTTCCTGGTATCTCTACTGTCATTATTGGTCCTGAGGGTTTATCTGTCCTGGATTCCCTGTGTTTCCAGCTCTGATCTGTGCCACCTACAACCATCTTAGAACAGAGAAAAGGAATCTATTTACTGGAGTGTGCCCTGCTACTCATCTAATCCCTATAATACTAAAGAGCTAGCCTCACACTGGATTGTTGAGAATGCAAGTCCCAACATTGTACCCTTGGGTCACAATTCAGAATTTTGCTTGTGTTGAAATTTTTGATTTGGTAGTTGTGGGGTTTTGTTTTTTAATGGGTCGGATTATTGTCTATTGCTCCATTCTTAGCCAGTGTTAATATAAGCAAGTGTGGTTTTGAGATATTTGACTCTTATGGTTCATGTGATCATTTTATCCTGGTTAGGATTATCAGATTACTTGATTACCACTACCTCATCCTGAAAAAATCTTGATACCTGATGTGATAGATAGGTTTATTGTGCCAACCTGGCCAATAGGAACATATGGGGTTAATCAGGTTGCAGTTTGATTGGAAGTCAAAGAGATAAAAATGTCTTGGCAAGGACCGA